TTTTTTTTTTTTTTTTTTTAAATCCAGTTGTAGATATATGGTTCGGTGGGCAGGATTTGCCCCGCGGGCCACAGGTTGATGAGCACTGCAATAGATGTTGAAATCAGGCAAGGGGAGGAAACTATTAGTAACTCCTAAGAAATTTCATTCAAACATCTACTGTATGTACAGTACCACTAGCAAGTTGTAAAAATATGCAATATTGTATCAGAATGGATGTGAGGGCAGTAGAAGTTTAGAAGATGACCTACTGTCTTGGCCTGAACAGGTGCAGTGAACCATAAGCCTCTGCTGTACAGTAACTTCACCGGATGTTTGCTTGACATCACTGTTTTTACAGGCTGTTTATTCACAGAGGCTTTTCAACACCCTCTCTTCACTCATTGTACTATATTAACTTTTCATATTGCATGTGGTTGCGTACACGTGCTTGTGTGCATACATGTGCGCGTGCGTGGATCTGTGCACGTATTCAGTGCGGAAGTAAAGACCATGTGCGTATGTTACTCTTAGTCATCAGTTTCCTACCACTTCAGCAGAAAATTGTATTCATTTCACCTAATTACGCAAAACAATAGTTTTTTTATACCGAGTCAATCATTACTGGAAATGGTGATGGTCATACTTTTCATTTTCATTTCTAATGGTGAAATCCTTCAAAACAGGTTAGTCATTACCGAGCTCTTGTGAAGGATATTGATTTTCTAAATGAATGGAGGTCAATGCTGAGTGAAAAAAAAAACTCTATTGTTGTGGGGACATATTGACTTAGTCTGGAATTAAGAGAAGGGGTGCATTCATGCATCGACATATTGACTTAGTCTGGAATTAAGAATAGAATTCATGTGTAATTCTATTTCATATTTAAAATATATATATAGTATACATATACTGTAAACTACCATATTTTCTGGACTATGAGTTGCTTCGGAGTATAAGTCACACCGGCCAAAAAAAAAAAAAGCATAACGAAGAGTATAAACAAAAAAAAAAAAAGCATAACGAAGAGAACAAATCACATCAGCCAGCTAGAGTGCCCTCTAGAGGCTGTCAGTGTGAAAATAACAAACGTGAAATTATATATTTTAATATATAAGTCGCACATGATTATAAGTTGCAAACCCTGCCAAAGGATGCAAATAAGTGTGACTTATAGTCCGGAAAATATGGTAGTCTACAGCTGACGGACACAATTGTCAAATAGATTTTGTCAAATAGATTTTGCCAAAAGACGAGTTTCCCTTGAAAGCAACTCGAGCCACCGTCAGGATGCAGAATAATGACTAAATCCACCAACTCTCTCCAGCTGAACTTTAGGTTTTTATATATTATCATGACATTTTTTTCCATATTAATAATTGAAATATATAGATGGTACTGCAGCAATACACCGAATTATATGCATGCATGTATTATTAATTAATTTATTATTTTGGTAAATACTAGAAAATGATACTTGTTAAAATGCTGTGTGCATGTTTATGTTCATGTTGGCACTGCCTGGTCCCAGATAATCCTCTTCACAGCAGCAGCAGTGTTCACCACATGACTGGCTCTTAGAAGTTGAACTTCATTTTCTCTCTTACCTTATTCTCTTTTCAACACACACACGCACACCATACACGTTTCCTTAGGTGTTACATATTTATTATAGTTTGACCTTTGTCCTGTGGTCACGAATGTTGCACGGCTCAATGTCAGTAATGAGTAACGCTTTGTTTAAAATTAACAGATAAAAGCATCTTGTTTTACACTCCAAGAATGTTATCTAATTATGTAAAGATAGAGCAGGCAAATATAACTGTGTGAAAATAAGAAATAGAGAAAATCTAAAATTCCCTCAGGCACGTCTGTCCGAGTTTCTGTTTTTCTTCTTTCTTCTGGACATTCTTCCACTTTCTTTTAACCCTATTTTAATGAGATGACAGATTTTTAGAGGGGGTGGGTCCACCAACATCCAACTCCTCCCTTATTGGCTGGGATGAATATGGGGAGTGAGGGAGAGAAGAAGGTTAAAGAGAAAGAGAGACAATGAGCTTTAATCACTCAGAGCTGCCAACAGTTAAGTTCAACAAGTGCTGAGAGGGAAAAAAAAAGAAGAGGGAAGACTGTTGGCCAGGGGAAGAAAGAAGAATTAAAGAGAACAAGACGACTGAGAAGGAGAGTTTTCAGCCACAGCTTGGACTAAAAGACAGACAGCCACACTAAAAAGGAGAAGGACATTCCATTGTAGTCCATCATCCCTGTAAAGAGGTCCTCATCCAATCTGCTGTCCAAACTGGAGTATGCCTTGCTACCCCTGTCACCCATGCCGCTGATCCAGGTGGTCAGCAGCATGATTTCACAATTCCCGCTGGCTACAC